ATCTGCTTACTCATACATCCTTCCTGTATGGCATGCAGATATTTTGACTGGTCTGCAGGAGACCTGCATGGCATCAGTGATCTACTGATCAATGGTGCAATGCTTTCCAGGGTTCTGTAGACAAAAATAAAAACTGCACATTTTTTTATCTGCAAAAAAATGTGTATTTATTATTTTTGTCTAAAAGGTGAACTTATCCTTTAATGTGGAGGTAGATATTGTCAAGTCAGGTTAAGGGGTCCCCAAAAGAGACATTTCAGATGAGATAGTGAGTCCAAATTGATAAAGAAAGGAGCATTTATTACTCTGCAGTGGAAATCATATAGCATACAGAAGTTCATCTCGTATGAGGTGGACTAAGGTAATCAATATATCTAAACTTTTAACCTTTAACTGATTTATGTATAATCATAAAGTCCAGACGTGTTGTATAAAGTCAAGGTGTGATCGTATACAGGGGCATATTTACAGCGAGGCAAACAAGGCATTTGCCTAGGGCGGCACTTTTCAGGGGGGCGGCATGGCCCCCCTTCTCCCGGCAGAAGTAACACAGGACACAGAGTGATCTGAGTGCTGGGACTGGGAGAAGCCGGGGCTCAGCTCTGCTCATTTTGTGTGCAATGGGGAGGCAGATCGACGCAGAGTCCATCGGCAGGGACACCGGAGCTGACACCGCACCAGTTACACTGATCCACAGCTCTGTCCCTGGATGGCTCCCAGTAGAGCACACCGAAGCCGCCTCCCTCTCCTCCACTGTCTATATGTACACAGGAGGAGGAGGGGGGAGGAGGAGAGACACCGCTGTGCATGTCTGCTGAACTGAGGTCTGTACCAATTTTCTTTTATTGTTCCTGGGCAGAGGAGGGGGACAGAGTGACCGGGAAGGGGGGGGGGCAAGTTTAAAAAAAATTAGTGATGGGGGTTATGTGCTGGGGGGGCACTTTCGGAGGGGAGAGGATCTATTCTAGAAGTTTGTTTTGGATTTGAAATCTGACCCCACACAAGAACATGCCTCCTCCCCTTCCAAAGCGCCTCCCCAGAACATATCTGCCCCCCCTCCCTACTAGCACAAGTGGAGGGGGGGGTCTGTACTGAGAGAGGGGGGTCTATAATGATGGAGAAGGGCCTGTACTTAGTGGAAGGGGGGTCTATACTGAGGGGGGGGGGAATCTATACTTAGAGGGGAATGAGGTCTGTACTCAGAGAGGGGGGTCTGTACTGAGGGGGGACTATACCTGGTGGGGAGGGGGGTCTATACTTGGGGGGGTCTATACTTGGTGGAGAGGGGGTCTATACTGAGGTGAGGGGGGGATCTATACTTGGTGGAGAGGGGGTCTGTACTGAGGTGAGGGGGGTCTATACTTGGTGGAAAGGGGGACTGTACTGAGGTGAGGGGGGATCTATACTTGGTGGAGAGGAGGTCTGTACTAAGGTGAGGGGGGATCTATACTTGGTGGAGAGGAGGTCTGTACTGAGGTGAGGGGGGGATCTATACTTGGTGGAGAGAGGTTCTGTACTGAGGTGAGGGGGGATCTATACTTGGTGGAGAGGGGGTCTGTACTGAGGTGAGGGGGGATCTATACTTGGTGGAGAGGGGGTCTGTACTGAGGTGAGGGGGGGATCTATACTTGGTGGAGAGGGGGTCTGTACTGAGGTGAGGGGGGATCTATACTTGGTGGAAAGGGGGTCTGTACTGAGGTGAGGGGGGGATCTATACTTGGTGGAGAGAGGATCTATACTTGGTGGAGAGGGGGTTTGTACTGAGGTGAGGGGGGATCTATACTTGGTGGAGAGGGGGTCTGTACTGAGGTGAGAGGGGGATCTATACTTGGTGGAGATGGGGTCTGTACTGAGGTGAGGGGGGATCTATACTTGGTGGGAGAGGGGGTCTGTACTGAGGTGAGGGGGGATCTATACTTGGTGGAGAGGGGGTCTGTACTGAGGTGTCGGGGGATCTACACTTGGTGGAGAGGGGGTCTGTACTGAGGTGAGAGGGGGATCTATACTTGGTGGAGAGCAGTAGCGTATTTACCGCAAGGCAGCATTTTTGAAGGGGGGCGGTAGTACTGGGGCAGAGAAGGGGGGGGGGGGTGGCGGTAGCGGCCAATTTTTGTGTTGCCTAGGGCAACTTACACCACCGATCGTATAATTTTAGTCCAATCAGATCCTTATATGCTTAACAGCAAGCTCAGAGTTAAATGGGTGTTAACATCATGTAACTAGTCCAAAATAGAGACTTGTGGTCATCCACCATGACAGTTGCTGGTTCAAACTGGTTTCACCACAAGATGCTTTTCTTAAACTTGAAACAGGAAGATATCCGGCTAGTTCATCCCGTAGATGCTTACGTCACAGGCACAAACTTCAAACCACGTTTCCTAAGAAGGAAGAAAGGGCAAAGTGCATTAAAAGATCTTTAAAAAAAAACAAAAAAACAGTATATATGTTTACAAGAACATTCATTATTAGACCCCCTATATTTCTACTCAATACCAATTGCTTTATTAGTGATGTGTAATGTAAATTAATTGCCTGTGATTTTACTAGACACATCAAGTGTTATGGTAGAGTGTATGTAATATGTATTTAACAAAGGGTTTGTAGTTACATATGGAGGTACAGGCAGAAAGCTGAAGGAAGTGTCTGAAGAAGCCTGCCATTGTACCCACTGATTGTGAATGCAAAGCTTTGCAGGCCCCTATGGAAAAAATAATAAATGCACATTTACTTCCCTGCAAAAATATGCACATTTAGTATTTTTTTCTAAAGGTGAACTGAGCCTTTAATTTGAACGAAAATGGTGCCATTAATAAATCTACAAAATGGACTACATAAAATTTCAAAAGGATCTAAAAGATGTCAAATCTAAAATATGATATACAACCTAATTATTGTTCAATCCAATTTTAACCAATGTACATTCAATTTAAAACATTCCTGTCATTAAACCTTCAAACTCATTTTGACATATAGTTCCCTAGACATCAGTGATAGGGAGTCCCAAAGAAACCTCCCTGAACGTTGTATAATCCCAGTGGATCCACATAATGAATTCTACTATATTATAAAAAAAGCCGCAACAATTATTATAATGAGAACAATCAACATTGACAGGACAGTTGTTTATAGCTGCATTGTTTACGAATACATTTATTTTTTAACATTAAAATACATTTTTACTGGTAATAATACATTTTTATAAACAATCTGTAAAACTACAGTATAACCAACTAGAATTACTTTTTCACTGTCACACTCCCACAAGGTAAAATCTCTCTTGGTTTCTGCTTTTTGCAAATGATAATTTTTCATTTTACTGCTTTTATTAAATGAAGCTTAACTCCAGGTAAATTCAATATTTTTGAAGCAGTGTAAGTGTCTGAATCTGACCTGGCATCAGCCTCTTGCATTCCCTGTATAGCAGAGTTCAGACGGGGAGAGGAAACACAAGGAACCTATTGGTTTTTCAGCAGTACACATGTGCTGGCCATAACAGAAGATGGAAGAGAGCAGAATGACAGAGAGATGAACTCAGCATTCCTCTGCTTCTCATTTCACTGTCCAGTCAAAGGCTGAGGATAAGGACAAGAACTGTGCTACTTAACTGCAGCAGAGAAAAAGCCGGTCTCCTGCCCTGCCAGACAGGGCTCTGTTACAGAGCTGTGTAATCTCACTGGACAAATATAAATCGCTTTCCTTTTGGTGGGTAAAACAGATTCTTCATATATTTTTTATCTTTGTATTTAGTTGTTTGCCTGAAGTTATATTTTAGGCCTGAGAAAGTGGACAGGGTCATTTAAAGCGTAAAGGGTATGTTCCTTTCCAATTATTGATCTTGTTTTATTGTTTAATCTTTATCTCACTTTGATCTTCATTTAAATTTGGTTAACCTCTTGCCGTCCGCCTGCTGTTTATAAACAGTAGGGCGGTGGCAGTCCAGGGGCGGGTTGCCGTTCCTAAACAGCACTCGCCTTTTCTAGCTGTGCGTGCTCCCTGGGAGCGCGCAGCACCGCGATCCGGTGCCCGCTGTGTCCTCCAGACACAGTGAAACACTGATCGTCGGACGGGACCTCTGTACGAGGTCCCGATCATGTGATCACTGATTGGCGAATCAGTGATCACATGCAAAGTAGTAAGCAAGCAAGATGTCACTTGTGACATCATTGCTTACTACGTGTGAAATCTGTGAATGATCACAGAGGTCACGTGGTACAAGGCTATTCACAACAGCCTTGTACCATGTGACAAGCTGTGACCAATCACAGCTCACTCAGTATTTCTCAATGAGTGCAGGAATGCACACAGAGAGAAAGAGAAATGATTGCTTTTACATCCTATATGGGTATAAAAGCAATCAGTGTAAAAAAAAAAAAAAAATCTTCATCACCCCCCACAAGTAGTACAGTGTCACCATGGTGACACTGTACTGCTAGGGTGACAGTATGTAAAAAAATAAATAATATAAAAAAAATAAAATAAAAATGTAAAAAAAATGTTTAAAAATTATAATTTTTGGTTATAAACTAATTTGGATTTTTTTTTTACTAAAAAAATAACGGAATAAATTTTGGCCGAGATTTATGATGAAATATTATTTATTTGCAAAATGTTATAAAAAAAAAAACACTTTTTTTCAAAATTTTTGGACTTTTTTTATTTACATAGTAAAAAAAATAAAAATCCCAGTGGTGAATAAATACCACCAAAATAAAGCTTTATCTGTCTCAAAAAATGGTAAAAAAAATTCATATGGGTACAGTGTTGCATGACCGCGCGCAATTGTCATTCAAAGTGTGATAGCGCTGAAAGCTGAAAATTGCCCTGGACAGGAAGGGGGTAAAAGTGTGTCCGGACGTGGTTAAGATCAGTTTCCACTGGATAATCTTTTATTTTTATGGATTTTATTTATAGTAATAAAAATATGTATAATATTTAATTATTATAATAATACTAATATATATACATATATATAAATACTATATATACAAAGGACATTAAAGTCATGGAGACCACAGTCTGCATGTTGAGAAAGTTTTCTTCCTCCCAGTAATAGACGGGATTTCAAAAATAGTGACTATAATATAAACATATGATGCAATAATGATACAAAATGGCATGAGATTAAAAATAAAGACCGCCACTGTACTGTGTAGTTGTACCATTGTTGTCGTGTCAGAGCAGGAGAGTTGTAGAATTGGGTCAAGATCACAGAAAAAGGGACCCATAATATTTGGACCACAAAACTGTATCTTGAAAATGTTAGAAATGGGAATCAATATAAACAAAGATTCAAATGTCCAGCCTATGATAATCATTATCTAGGTGGTTTGTTTTCAAAGAATACTGCAAGGGTTTACAGATGGCCAAATATCTGTCATAAGCCATCATGGTTAGAAGAAGACATTCCATAATTCCTGCAAAAGAAAAGAAGTAAAGCTGCACGATGCAATGAGAAATATTTAGGATGGCCTCTTTCACCAACACAGTGTGGAGCATGTTAGGAAGAATATCTGTTGCCATTCATATATCAGATACAGACAACTAGGAGAGGAAGAAGTACATGGGAGAATGGAGGGTTCTGCCGTAAAACATCAACACGATGATCAGGAGGTTTCCAGATATTGTCATACAATAAACAGCGAGGAAAATTGCAAAGATCAAAATTGAAACATCTTGTGAGGTATGAAACCCTAGAAGATGAACCATTTTTATTGGCGTCAAATTTATCTCATTTATAACCTGAAGATAGAACAAAAAATGTATGTTTATCCAGCATAAAAAGTTAAATATCACAAAATATATACTATATACAGTTGTGCTCAAAAGTTTGCATACCCTGGCATAAATTGTGAAATTTTGGCATTGATATTGAAAATATGACTGATTACGCCAAAAAATGCTCTTTTATTCAAGGATGATGATCATATGAAGCCATTTATTATCAAATAGTTGTTTGTCTCCTTTTTAAATCATAATGATAACAGAAATCACCCAAATGGCCCTGATAAAAAGTTTCCCTCCCCTGGAATGTTTGGCCTTGGTACAGACACACAAGGTGACACACAGGTTAAAATGCCAATTAGAGGTTAATGTCACACATCTGTGGATTTTTAAATTGCAATTAGTGTCAGTGTATAAATAGTCAATGAGTTTGTTAGTTCTTACGTGGAAGCACCGACTAGGCTAGATACCAAAAATTCTTCCTGCGCCAAAGAAACTACTACAGGATCTACCCTGCTGCTGTGCAATGTGATGAAACACACAAAATGTGACAACTATAAATAAACAGCGCAAACATAGACCTCTAAATATAATCAATCTATAAAGTGCATAATAATACTAAATATATCATAAATAATATTAATAGTGAAAGTCCATCATAATAATAGACACCAAAAGTTTGTGAATCACAAAAAAATTATGTAGAGATAAGAAATCCAGAAATTCTTCAGATGCAAAGAAAAACTTCCACCTTCCACCCGTGCAAACCAACATCAATTACACTCACCAGATTTTAGTGAATGAAACGCCTTTTAGGGATTTAAAGGGATCCTAAACCCTCTTTCATATCCACTCTTTAGGATTCCTCACCATCAGAATAGGCTCCACCATTCAACCAGGGAGAAAACAAAATCTCAGATAGTGTGATATTGCTAATTGCTACTTTCAATAAAATCAAAGATTTAAGGCCACTTACATTTCAACCACTTTAAAAAGGCACATTTATTGAAACAACCTCTTCCAGATGGAAAATGAGTGATATACAGCCTCCTCAGGAATCTCACATCACAGCTCCAGGGTACAGCAGAAGCATTTCTGGTCTATACCCCGTACGTCTGACGTCACTTCCGGTGAGTGAGAGCGCACGCTGAGCTGAGGTGCGTTCCAGCGGCCATCTTTTGGGATCTGTGTATGGTTTTCTCTGTGGAGCTTCTGCTGTACCCTGGAGCTGTGATGTGATGCCAATCAGTACTGTTAAATCACCTATTAAGAAGTGGAAAGTTCGGTGATCTGTTGCTACCAAGCCAAGGTCAGGTAGACCAAGAAAGATTGCAGCCACAACTGACAGAAGAATTGCCTGGAATTCAAAGAAAAACCCTGCAGGGAACCTTAAAAAATATACAGGCTGCTCTGGAAAAAGATGGTGTGGTTGTTTTTAAGGAGTACAATATGGTGATACTTTAACAAAAATGAGCTGTTTGGTTGAGGTGCCAGAAAGAGGCTTTCACTGCACCAATGGCACAAAAAAGCTCGATTACAATATGCCTGGCAACACCTTGACATGTCTAACCGGGCCTTCTTGTGTCATTGACGCAGTAAAGGCTTCTTTCTGGCACCTCCATCATGCAGCTCATTTTTGTTCAAGTGTCATCATATTGTGCACCTTCAAAACAACCACACTGTGTTTTTCCAGAGCAGCCTGTATTTTTCTTGTGGTTACCTGTGGGTTTCCCTTTGTATCCAGAACAATTCTTCTGGCAGTTGTGGCTGCAATCTTTCTTGGTCTATCTGTACTTGGCTTGGTATCTACTGTATATATATATTATTATACAGGATTTATGGCGCCAACAGTTTGCTCTGCGCTGTACAATATAACGGGAGACAATATAGCAACAATACAGTTCAATACAAGAGGGATAGAAGGGCCCTGCTCCTTGGAGCTTACAATCTAAGAGGGAGGGGCTGGCTGTACAAAAGGTAATAACTGTGGGGGGTGGACTGATAGGAGAAATAGAAGATTCCATTATTAGCTGAGAGCAGGACAGGCTTCCCTGAAGAGATTGGTTTTCAGAGATCACCTAAAAGTGAGCATAGTAGGCGATAGTCTGATAAATTGGGGTAGAAGGTTCCAGAGGATGGGGGAAGCTCTGGAGAAGTCCTGGAGATGAGCATGGGAGAAGGAGACAAGGGAGCTAGAAAGCAGGAGGTCATGGGAGAAGCTGAGAGTACGGTTTGGGTGATATTTGGAGACAAGATTGGTAATCTAATTTGGGGCAGAGTTATAAATGGCTTTATATATTATACTGAGGGGCGCTCAAGTTAAAATGGGACATTTGAGTTTTATATAATAAAAGAACAGATTTCAAGGAGTGGAAACTGCATTTATGTTTCAACATACTCTCCTGCTACATTATACACTTATCCCAGCGTTAAACTAATGTCTGAAAAGCTTCAAGTGATTCTAAAGGCGCATTTATTTGTAAAAAAATAACAAACATGTCTATACTTACCTGCTATGTGTAGGGGTTTTGCACAGAGCAGCCAGGATCCTCCTCTTCCCAGGTCAAGTGCTGGCACTCCTGGCCCTGTTGGGTGCCTCACAGCAATCAACTTGCAATGGGGGCACCCGCTGCTCCGTGTATCCATTCACACATGGAGCCATGGCTCTGCCCCTCCCCCTCTCTCTTCTCATTGGCTCATTGGCTGTGATTGACAGTGGTGGGAGCCAATGGCTTCTGCTTCTGTCTCAGCCAATCAGGAGAGGGAGTCCCGGGATAGCCGAGATACCAGTGCACATTGCTGAATCAAGAGGGGGCTTAGGTATTAGGGGGGCTGAGGGGGATGCTGCACAGAAAAGGTTTTTTACCTTTATTCATAGTCTTCATGAGGGTAAAAAATCTTGAGCTTTAGAACCACTTTCAGCATAGAAAGATTTGTCAGTACACCTGAACCATCCTAGGACAGCCATCTTCACTTCATCATCATTGAGTTCACCGTTCCTACAGGAAGATTTGTCAGTACACCTGAACCATCCTAGGACGGCCATCTTCACTTCATCATCATTGAGTTCACCGTTCCCACAGAAAGATTTGTCAGGACACCTGAACCATCCTAGGATGGCCATCTTCACTTCATCATCATTGTGTTCACCGTTCCCACAGAAAGATTTGTCAGTACACCTGAACCATCCTAGGACGGCCATCTTCACTTCATCATCATTGTTCACCGTTCCCACAGAGAGATTTGTCAGTACACCTGAACCATCCTAGGACAGCCATCTTCACTTCATCATCATTGTGTTCACCGTTCCCACAGATAGATTTGTCAGTACACCTGAACCATCCTAGGACAGCCATCTTCACTTCATCATCATTGTTCACCGTTCCCACAGAAAGATTTGTCAGTACACCTGAACCATCCTAGGACGGCCATCTTCACTTCATCATCATTGTTCACCGTTCTCACAGAGAGATTTGTCAGTACACCTGAACCATCCTAGGACAGCCATCTTCACTTCATCATCATTGTGTTCACCGTTCCCACAGAAAGATTTGTCAGTACACCTGAACCATCCAAGGACAGCCGGCTTCACTTCATCATCATTGTGTTCACTATTCCCACAGAAAGATTTGTCTCTTGTGCAATTTCACAACAGGTTATGTTGATTATCCTGAATCAGGAGTTCCACATGCTGAATTTTCAAAATGACTGCTGTGGGCTGCGAACCCCCATTGACAGATGTATGGTCATCTTTTGAAACATTTACAACCTTCAAATGTCTCATCACCATACTGTACTTGAAGTTTTCTGTAGATATCTGAGGGTTTTGCACCTTCGTTCACAAGAGACATCACCACCACAAGCTGTTCTATGCACGCACTAACATTGTTGTCTGCCATCTTGATTAACGGTCTCTGACCTGTGTGCCATCTATCCATAAAAGAATACACTTGCCACTTACTACTGCATATAGCACCGCCACGCTAGCCTCCCTATCTATACCTATAAAATTAAAAGTCCCAGTTTGATTTTTAAATATATATATATATATATATTTATGATATTTTAGTTTTTATGCTGGATAACCTTTTATTTTTATGTTCTATCTTAAGGTTATGAATGAGATAAATTTGACGCAAATAAAAATGGTTCATCTTCTAGGGTTTCATACCTCACAAGATGTTTCAATTTTGATCTTTGTAATTGTCCTCATTGTTTATTGTGTGACAATATCTGGAAACCTCCTGATCATCGTGTTGGTGTTTTATGGCACAACCCTCCATTCCCCCATGTACTTCTTCCTATCTCAGTTGTCTGTGTCCGATATATTAATGGCAACAGATATTCTTCCTAACATGCTCCATACTGTTTTGGTGAAAGAGGCCATCCTAACTATTTCTCATTGCATCTTGCAGCTTTATTTCTTTTCTTTTGCAGGAATTATGGAATGTCTTCTTCTAACCATGATGGCTTATGACAGATATTTGGCCATCTGTAAACCCTT